GCTGATTATGGTTCATTTACTGTTTTATATGTTTTTATTGACGTCAGAGAGGAAGGGGGGGGGAGGGAGAGGAACATCCATGATGAGGGAGAAACATTGATCAGCCGCCTCCTGCACGCCCCCTACTGGGGATATGCCCTCAACCCAGGTACACGCCCTTGACCGGATTCGAACCCGGGACCCTTCAGTCCGCAGGCCGACGCTCTATCCACTGAGCCAGACCGGTCAGGACATTGTCTCACTTTTTTATATATTTTTTTTCCTTAAAAATTCTCAATTTAGCACAGATTCTATTTCAGAGAATAAATGTGAGAAACGTAGGTTGTTTTAAAATAGCACTGTAGCTCGTTGGTAGATAATTTGATGGGCAGTTACACAATCCACAAAAACAATGACCAGAAATAAGACATTATCTCTAACAGAGCTGCCGGAAAAAAATCCTGATTATTAAAACTCCTGGAGCCCTGGCTGGGGTGGCTCAGTGGATAGAGCGTCGGCCTGCAGACTGAAGGGTCCCGGGTTCGATTCCCGATCAAGGGCATGGACCTGGGTTGCGGGCACATCCCCAGGGGGAGGGTGTGCAGGAGGCAGCTGATCGATGTTTCTCATTATCTCTGTTTCTAACTCTCTGTCCCTCTCCCTTCCTCTCTGTAAAAAAATCAATAAAATATATTTTATAGAAATTAAAGAAAAAGAATTCACACAAACAATCGCAAAAGACCTGGGAGTGTCTGTGCCAGGCCAAGGCCGCTAAGGAATGTCGAAGGCGGGACATGCCTGGAATTCCTGGCTCCGGCCTGGACCTCCCACGGGCGGCCCGTCTGCAGCTACGAATGGCGCCAGGGGTGTTGAGTTTTCACCCACAACAGCCACGGTCGTCGGCCGTCACCCACGCACAGGCCACGGCAGCCGGGGTGACACCCACAGCCGTACACGACCCCCAGGCGGGGCAACTGGTGATGTCACGGGATCCCCCACATGACAAAACGTGTCTCATTGCCCCTGTCATTGGGGTGGGGGGGGTTCAGCACAGTTGGCTTTTGGGGCTGCAGGGTTTTCAGTGGTGGTGGATGGTAGGGAGGTGCTAGATTGTAGAATTTTATCCCTGAAACGTGTAGAATTTTATGGGCCAACTAGAGGCCCGGTGCACGAAATTCGTGCACTTGGTAGGGGGATCACTCAGCC